AGTGCCCTTGTACTTACTGACAGATGAATTTCGGCACTAATAAATTCTGACTAAGCCCAATTTTTCATTATTCTAGTGGTTTTTCTAATTGCATTTCTACTCAGTGAAACAAATTTATCAAGTTTGCTCATGAAAAGCATGTTAGCCTAATATGTGTTGTACGATGGGTCGGGATAAGTAGAATATCAGGTGAAAAAATACTATTACAAAATATTGGGTTATAATATAACCTTGTTAAATCTATCATACCGAACAACCACAAATCATTTACAGTCGCGAGAGGTTAATATCATGTTCAAATGAAAGACAGAAATGTTGTTGTTGGTGACATCTTGTGAAATATAATTTTCTGAAATCTACGATCTATGATCACAGCTCGTATCAAGAGCGTTCCATTTGACCTTTCACAACAAATTCACTATTGATCACGGCAAATCGCCAAAACAACCTATTGTGCACTTTCCTTATTTGTAATCTACTGTTGAAAATGTGGCTGTATTATACTGTTTCTGTCAGCTACATGGTGTAAATATGCTATTAGAAACTGACACTTATACTTAATTTAACTGCTATAACTTTTACAGTAAATGTGAAAGCATTTGTGACAATTTGATCTAGCCTGTAAACTGGCGTGACTCTTGTAACGTAGATATTTGAGAATAAATATATTATTATTATTATTAACTGTGGAATATGGTGCGTCACTGTGAATTAGTACTGAAATCACGGCAGAACAAAGTTATACTCAATAGCTACGAAATAGAATTTAATTATATTATCTGTATTACCCCCAGGTTATATGCTCGATCGATATGCTAAACAGATCAGATCATGTTGTAACTGATGTAGGATTTATGACAAGGTGTGGGGAAACAGATATAAGACTAAATGCTACCTTATTCGACGGAATTACAAGCATTTTATACTCAGTTGTGGAGAGAATAGAGGTACTAGGGGGTGTAGGAAGGGTTTAGTTTCGATCAATTTGCTATCTCGTGCTGTTACGGGTATAAGAGCAGTTGTCACTTACCGGCAGCCCACACCGTGGAAGGCTGTTTCTTGAGGGACCTGAAAATGAAAATAGATCAGTGTTGGTCTTAACGACCTGAGAGCGTGACCGCAGAGTCCAAGGGACAACTGCTTGAAGCCGGTCACGCACGACCTTTTGATGAAAGTTTTTTTGAGGATTAGCTCCGCTCTTAAAGGCCTTTAGTGGGCACCCTTACCGACGGAGACGGAAACCCATGAAGTGTGACATTTTTACTGTCGACCTTTTCCAACCCTTCCTTCCTTGTGAAAAGGCAGAAGCGCAGCAGATGCTGATGCTCCGAGGGGAACGCCTTACTGCTGTCACACCCCTCTGCAGTCAGCAGTACGACTTCGCTGCTTTTAGTCTCTTCGTTCGCCAATCGACCTGCCTGGCATGGTAGAACCTTCAGGAACATATGTTCTCAAATCCTAATCTTCTGGATTCTTCAACCACCCTAGCCTTGACTTTCTAAACTTTTCTCACTGAATCATACTTCTTGCATAATATCTTCTAATTCTAACCTCTCCGATTACTTCTAATACCTTTACTACCTCTTCTACTATTAGATTTGAATAGACAATTATTCCTCTGTGCTGATGTGGTATGGCGACATGAACTGATGTACTTACGTACGAAGTTCTACGTTGCATCTGACTGACTGGCTGATTTTATACTCAGTGCAACTATAGTAGAGATTATTTATTAAGGAGGAAATCAACTATTACTTAGTCACTAGGCTGAATATCTAACCGTCCACATTCAGAGATCAATAGCATTTGATTTTTACAGACCATACTTCAGCTAGGGAGTTCAAGCTTTCAATGTAAATTTCATCAGAATACAAGTGGTTGTCTTGGTTTTCAAACATTATTGTCAATGCTTGGGAACTGTGATGTAAATATGCATGCCTATCTTAATTAGTAAGGTTGCGATCATTACTGCATACCTGAAAACCAACTTACTTTGAGAAGATACTGACTATCTAAAAGTGCCTTTTGAAAGATTTCTGCATTCACAGGTAAAAAGCCTGAGGGAAGCTTGAGGAAACAATTCTGTGAGAGTTGTTGCAACTCAGAATGCTCTCCCAGCCGAGGTGACCACAGCCCCCTCAAAGGACAACTTTAAGAAGAGACTTCATAATCACGTACTCACATACGGATCATCATCCCCCTCTTGGACAAGCTGTGCCTGATACATATCTTGAGACCTGCTAGTTGTTATCATTGCCATCTCAAATCACTCAATTAATCAATCTCGTTTATTATATCCATTTCCTCTCCCTTGCTTACACTTCGGGCCTTTCTCATAATCTTCACTACCAAATAATAAACTAACTCACCTATTTAATTACTTAGTCCTGAAATCTTACTCATATTAGCATTAGAATTTTATCCTTATTATTCTCCACATTGCAACTTACTGATCTCTGGTCTGGTAATGTGATAGCTGCTGGTATGCAGAAACTCGCTGCCCTGAAACAAACGTTTCATTCAAATCACGGGACATACAAACTCACAACCAACTGTCAACTGACTGAAATTAGACAGTCGAGTAGCTAGACTCTCATTCATTGGACATCACCGAACAACTGGAACCGTACCGAAAGAACAAGAATTGAGCGTAAAGAAATCAACTCGTTCATGCTAGCTCGTGAAAAAGATATTGGATATTTATATACGTTATGGCATTTAAAAAAGGTCGTGCAACCCCTCAAGGTGTACCACAACTGTGTTAGGGAATTATATTTTCTGATATGAGAAAGAACAAATAATATGTTGTTTAATGTAGTCAAAATCACATTAAAAGCATTTAATATTCCACTGTGCGGGTTTTCTGTTATTCGGTATTTGGAAATGTGTTTCGGAAAGACACCATCCGCTTACGCCTTCGACTAAGCTAGAGTATATTGCTGAACAACCTTGAAGCATAGGCTAACGCATTAACTTCTAGATTGTTACAAGAGTGAGAATCCTTGAAGTACTTCGTGGTACTTTTCCAGGCTGCACTACTTGGTGATAAATATGTTATGAGATGCACATTTTTCCTAACAGCACATACCTTTAGGAGTAGTTGTTGCTCGAAACAAACTGGAAAAATATAGATTTAAAAAGTCGCTTGATAACATTAAGTCAGCAGATATAATCTACACAGACTTCAGGAAATCTTTTTATCGAATCTGAGAAGCTTGGAAATTTCCAGGAATCCGTCCTGGTATCTAAGATTCTCTATAGGTCACTTAGATAAAGTATGAATAATCTCAACCCCTTTTTCAAAAACCAGTAGTAGTTTCGGTTTTATATTTCTTTTGCTTCGTTGGACTTCCAAGTATTACCGAATCTCCACTTTGATGTGATTGTAATTTAATTATGATGTACAAGAGACTAAGAAGTAACTTTTCACCTGATATACTCGGTTTCTCTCAACTCTGTTAAGACAACTTATAAGTTACTGACGGATTTAAAAGACATGAGCAGATGAGATTCTCGTGGTGCGTGTTTTTCTTACCGATTAAACGATTCATAGCACTAAGATTCAAAAGAAATGGCTTCTGCGCCTTCGATTTACTTTCTCAAGAGGCGACTAAAGACAAAATGGTACTAAGAAAGTACTAACATACTTCCGAGTTTCTATCCTCGAAGTGAAGACCATAATTTTTCGATCTTTAAATGTTGGTTTTAGTCTTAGGTGTATTAGGAAAGCACTCACAGATCCTCTTCACTCATGGTATCCTTAGTTTTTAGGGAAATTATTTACTTTTACACACCGTTCACCTGTTTCTGTGTACCAGTACATCTGGTTGCTTTCTATTTCAGAGGCTGCTTAGCTGAGGTGTAAAGAGCTCTAGTTTGTTAGTTTATAACATATCAATGTTTGCAGATTGGTCTAATATCAAATGCATCTGTTTGGACGTAGATTCTACAGTTTGTGTAGATGAAGGACTAGATGAACTTGCAAGTTTTATTGGAGTTACTGATAGCGTTAAAAAAATGTAGACAATAACTTTCGTTTATAATTCTAAGTTTCATTAGCACTGAAGAAGCTATGAGCGGAGAATTAGACTTTACTAAAGCATTAGAAACCCGCCTATCAATAATGAATTTAAATGAAAAGAAGCTTAGTGACTTTATAGATAACTATCCAATTAAATTAACACCGGGTATTGAGTAAGTTCATTGCATCAAAGCTTTTAGTTTTGTAGTAATAATGTAATTGCTTCGATTATTATTGTGTAAATCACTTGCCAATTTTTAATTCACTGAATAAATAGAAGAAATACCAATAGTTTAAATGGTATTATGTCCAGGCTCCTAACAGAGTTAGTCTGAAGACTTCATAATCGATGTTTGTTTACCAAACTAGAGATCAAGAGTCGTTAGCTGTGTATTTTATCTGTCTTTAGTCTTACCGTGAAGACTAGTTGATATGAAAGTCATCGTTACGCAACGAGATAAAAATACAAGAGTTGATAGTTTTAAGATCAGAATTATATGTTGATCGGATACATTTTTGGACGATGCGGTAAGGCAATACGCCTTACCCAATAGGTGAGTATATTGCGCATCAGTTCGCTTTACATAACTCTAGCTGTAACCTGTAAAATGACCCATAAAAGTACAGCAGAAAAGTATGCTGCAAGTACTTGGCCACAGGAATCTTGCAAGTTTTACTGACCTGTCGTAGAACAACCCAGTCAACACTGACATGGCTAGTTGTACGGCTTTAAGAAAGTGTAGCAAGCCGGTTTATAGGACTGCAAATATTCATCTGCTAAGGTTTTCTGAATCACGTACCAGGCCTAAGCGATGCGTACCTCAATTCACATTCTTCGTTGGAGTAACAAATAGGTTGGACAAAGGCTGGGGCCGGCTCCACCAAGAAACAGCATCGGTTGGGGTTCACTTTATTGGTCGGTTTTCGGTGAGACTGACTCAAAACCGTTCACAGTGATTGTAGATAAATTCACTCTTTATCGTCGCCTAAATTTGACGTTTCAGTATTCTTTCACACTTTTTTTCCCTAGAATTTGCCTCTTTTCAAGTCACGTTCTTCGATTTATAGCCTTTCTCAATATTAACGGTTTGAATTATTTCTGGTTAGCGTTTTTTTGGCAAGTGAGTGGAGGGGGGTAACAGGCGTAAGTAAAAAAGTAAAAGTCAATATTAATGGTATCATTATTACTTCGGCTCCATTGCTACAGACCTTTTTAGTTTCATGTTGCCTTGCTGGCTTCGTTTCACAGCATGAACTGATTCATATTTATGGCAGGATTTATGCTGAATATGACTAACTGTTACTATTCTTCATTCTACATCCGCTTCTTTATAATTTAATACGGAATTCACTGTTATGCAGTATCTAATGCTGATAATTTCCAGTTGCCTAATTTAAGAATAAACAAAGCACCTATTTTCCATTTCAACAGTATTAGCAACTCAGTTACTTTCGAAACAGTTTCCTTTTGAGACTTCAATTTATATACTTTATAAACTTGAAGTTACGATGCAGCTTAATAATCCTATTGGCCATGTTGATTTTTCAAAGTATTCATTTTTTGTGTTTTGTACAGAGATCTCGTTCACCAGTTTAAAGCGAATGGGATTGGTCTTTACTTAGTAAGTGGTGGATTATATCCACTAGTTAATCGTGTAGCTAAACTACTGAATATTCCTGAAGAAAATGTTTACGCGAACAAATTGATTTTCAATAACGAAGGTAATATTAATTGTTAGAGTTTCTTTCCGTTTGCTTTGGTAAAAAAATTATACACAAGGCAATGTCTTAATAGATGCAGTTAGAGAAAGTTCTTTTGTATGCTAACCTCAGCTTATAAATAAAAACTATATTCACTCGAAATAATTTTATCGTTGGACTTGTATGCTCAAATCCAATATTAATTATTTCATTAATATCTAAATGTCAACAATTACTCCATCAACAAGCTAACGTTACTTGTATTCAGCTTTCGGTCTTCTGGTGCAGGGACTAACGTAAGTCCTAATGACTTATAATATTTCGAAGATCCACTTTTACTTTGAATGTTTGGACGGAAAGCAGTTATACTATGGTGTCCTTGCAGAGAATTCTCAGTCAGTCAGCAGTAACGTAGAACTTCGTACGTACGTACATCAGTTCAAGCTGCTATATCACATTATCACAGAGAGATCGGATTATCAACTCAAATCCCATTATAGTAGAGGTGGTAGAAGCATTAGCGGTAATGGTAAAGATTAGGGTTTGAAGATATTGTTTAGGAAGTATAATCTAGCGAAGTAAATGTAAAAAAGATAAAAAGTGACAAGGAATTCAGAAGATTATAATTTGAGGGAAGAAATAGAATGGATGCATATGTGCCATTGCAAGTAACTCTGATCGCTGTCATTCAAAGTCTCACTATCGGTTACTATTGTCTCACGGACCCCAACCAGGTAGTCTACACCTGCTAACGTGTCTCAGTCCACTTCTCTGTGACTTCATGGATTGTACCATGCTTTGGTTTGGCCGTCCCTAGCTTTGTTTCAGCCTCCCCCTGCCTCAGATAACATAGCTCGTTGATGCAGTAGGTGGTTGGGTGTACGTAACACATGTCCTAACCACCTAAACTGATGAAGTTTCATTACTTCATCTATTGATCTGCCATCCTTACCTAGTACCCGTTTCCTAACAACAGCATTGTTTATTCGATGGTCCCAGGATATACGAGCAATGTTTCTGAGACACCTATGATCGAATACTAGTAACCTACGAATATCCTCTATTCTTAATGGCCATGTTTTACACCAGTAAAGTAGGACGGAGCGAATTTCTGTGCAGTAGACTCGTCCTTTGATTAGCAGTCGGCTATCTCGCCTACCCCATAAGTGATGCAAGTTGGCAATAGCCGGTCGAACCTTCGGTATGCCTGCCGAGACTTCATCGTACACCAGGCTGTCAGCACTGGTGAGGCTACCAAGATAAGTGAAGCGTTCAGCACGCTCAACTACTTGCAAGGAATTCTAGTAATTTTTAATTCGATAAGACAAATAAAAGTTTGGTTGTAAAGAATTTGATCTGAACTTTTGAGCTTACCTACAGTGTTGTCTTAGATAGCCGTACGTGGAATGAAGATAAAACATTCAGATAAAAATTATCGTTCAGTATCAAGTAATCCAGTAGTAGATTACACGTTGTAACCTGTAAAGTAGCAATAATATATCGAGATATCAGTTTAGTGAATTAAGTTTTTGACTAGGATCCGTTTTGTGACTAATATCCTTAAGTCCATGGTAAGCGTTACGTTATTCATGTTTTCCTGTCAATCCCTTGCAAGGAATACTTACGTTTATTACTCAGTGTGCCCCCATACTTGCTTAACGAGATTCATAAATGTTTTATTTGCCTTCGGTGTATCTGGAGACTTGACTGCTATTAACACCAACCATCGTTGGAGGAATTTTAATACAAGACTCGCTTATTCTGAAACACATGTTAAGTCTCTGGTCATGTTCTGGTATGAGTACATGTTTATCTGCGTCTTACTGGAAGAGGGAAGACCACATCAAGAGGAAGCCCTTAGAGTTCAGCCTAATAATGAAAAAGACATGATCATATTTCAGGAATAACTGGAGAATCAGTTAGCCAACCAGGAACGTAATATTCATCCCAAGGTAGCTTGGCATGATTTCTCAACACTAATGAAAATACCAGTGACATCTACAGTAACTTAAAATAAGAGTTTAAAACAATTGGTCATTTTAATAAATTTCGATAATGTAACACGTTATTTTATTACATTACCCAAATTAAAGTAAAAGGTTAGGAAACATCAGGGAGTTTCAGCAACGTCTACTGAACTGAAATATTCTTGGAAAATTATCGTATCAGTCTCTGAAAACGATAAGAAGCGAAGTTATATTACACTAGACGGATAAGAAACCTTTGCAATAATCGTAAACAGTGTTTGGTAACGAGAGCAAAAAGGATGGTAAACGTAGCAGCGATATTTATCACTACAAATGAGCCTACCGACTGATCAAGGAAACGCATATTGAAATCCGACTATCCGGGAGAGCCTTGAGGAAAGATAAAAAAAATTGTGCAGAACATTTTAATCAATAGCTCAACTGGTAGAATAACATAAGTACTGTTACTCTTAATGATGTTGGAAAGGTTATAGATGGTCTTAAGCGTGGGATAGGAAGTTCAAATGAATTGACCCCCGACGCCTTTAAAAATGATGGTTCAGTCTTAATTGTTTAAACTGACTGAAATATTAGCTAGAATCTGGAAATTGGACATAATCCTTTCTGACTAGTCTTGTTCGTTAATCTTCCCGGTCTATGAGAAGAGAGGAAAACTTTTGGGATTGCAACCGAGGAGTAATTTTGACAATTGTAGAATCTAAAGTATTAGCTTCAATAATTAGTCGACGCTTAACCAGAGCTAGTGAAAAACAAACCCCAGAAAACCAGATCGGTTTCAGACCCGGATGTGAATGTATTGATCAAATGTCTACCTTTTCTTTAGATTTCGAAACCGAGATTTAATACTGATCGAATCCGAGTTTATAGCGAACTGTCTTCAGGGTTGTCAACCTTAAGTGATGTTCGTCGGGAGAGAGTTGTCCAATTCCACCATTCTTATTTAACTTTGTTATATAAATCATTGTAGAGATAACAGTCTCGAGACTTGACTTTTCAGGTCTTCTGCCAGGAGGTACACTGGTTGACTTAGCATACGCTGATGGTATAGTCGTGTTTATTGAAGATATTGACAGCTTTCAAAGTCTTCTGACCATCTTAAGAAACGATATAAGCGTATCAGGTATGAGATCCTTTGACTCTAAATCCAAAATACTGCTTCACTACTAGTTTGTGTCAACGCCTGGTCTAATGATAAGGAGTAAAGTAGTTAGGTCTGTCGATTACTTCATCTGTCTTAGAGATATCACCAACCTTGATAAGCTGCTATCTAATGAAAACTCGTCACGAACTCAACAAGCCCGATCGACTTTCTGCAACCTGCGTCACCTGTGGGAGAACGCTAAATATCCATCTGTTAATCGAAGAACGAGTTTACTGTTCAGCAGTTCACTCCTTTCTACTTTATCGATGTGAAACTTGACCACTAAGAATAGGAAATGTTCATAAATTACTAATATCCAATCATAGGTGTCTTAAAAGTATTACTCTTGTATTTTGAGACTACTGATTGAGCGGTACAGAAGTTAGGTAATATGATACTATGCAAATGTGAAAAATTAATGGAGAAGGTAGCGATTGTTCATCCGTTTAGGTAATTAAGACATTTATTATCTGTATCTAACTACCAGTTATTGTAGAAGGGGATGCTGACTAGTTTAGGGGCATTTTGGAAGATAACTATCAAACCAAGACGTGGCACAAGTCCATGAAGACACTGACAACTGGATTGAGTCATGTAGGTGTAGATTGCATAATTGAAATTCTCCAGTTACCTAAGATATAACTACTCTTGTAATAAACAATTCATATCATTCTTAAAACTCTTGACAAAATTAAAAATGCTATGATAATGTTAAGATAATGCAAAATAACAAATTATACTTCGTTAATCTTTCACTGTACACTTTATCATATCAGAAGTATCTTTTGATATCATATTTTGAATAAAGTAATTCTTTCAGTACTTTGAATATTATTTTTGTTCCAATTATTCGGTAGGCATATTTAAAAAATTTTTTCTCATAGGTACTTATATCGGATTGGATTATAATGCACCAACTAGTCGTTCTGATGGTAAAGCTATCATTGTCAATGAATTAATGAATAAATTGCATACACCAATTATGATAATAGGTGATGGAATGACAGATGCAAAAGCTTGTCCACCAGCTGCTGTATTTATCGGTTTTGGTGTCAATGTAATTCGTCCTAATGTTAGAAATATATCTGATTATTTCTGTACATCCATGGATGAATTAATTAACTTGTTGAAAAGTCATAAAATGTTACGATGAAATTATTTACTGTATAGATGGTTTTAATTTAAATAAATTAATATTTTCATTATTATTATATGTTCATGTAAAACACCATTGTTCTTAATCAACCTCATGGTCGACGAATCTCAGCTTTCACTTTGAGGCATCGTAGCTCTTCTAATTAAAACACCCACCCTCTCCTAAGCCAAAGTTTAAATAGTTAGATTGATTTTTTATGGTTGGTGCTCTTTTTGCAAGATCATTTTTTACGCGACCTGGTTGTTCACCTCATCCTTATCCCTCCTCCTTTACCTGGGTTTGGAATCTACAGTGACCCTGAATGGGGCTAGGGTGGAGTTACTGTTGTTTCTAGGTAGTATCATAATCACTGTTAATTAAAATATCGTAGTAAGGATCCAACATATTGATTCTCTTGCAGTTCTTTGTGATAGATTTTTCCATATTTGTGTTATTTCACCAACAGTTCAACAATATAGATGCTTTTATCTAAACCGATAGTTCGCACGCTAAAGTTCTCATACTTTACACATTTTTCCTATGACATACTCTGTATCTCATGTCTTCCAGTAACATATATGACTTAGACCGTAATTAATAAAGGCATACATTGTAAATATAATAATTTGTTTCATAATAGAAGCAGACGTAACTCAGTTTAATATATGTACGGTATCATGTCTAATCTTACTTCCATTTACTTGTATTAATCTGGTGAATTCTTTAGTTAATAAAAACACCTCATGAATTACAGAATAGATAGCTATACAGTCCAAAAATAAAATGCATCTTCATACGAAATAAAAAAAGTGGTTTTAAAATAATTTGACATTTCAGGAGTTTTCACGCTAATTTCATGATTTTCGATAATGTTTGATTATACTAATTCATTAATATAGCCACCACATTCAAATTAAGTAAACCTTAATGTTTTAATGTAAATCGATTACAATCTGTGGATTGTGCAATTTCTTCAATGTAAATTATCTAAAAGCTATACTTATTACAGAATTAATAAAATGATTCAGTCATTCTTAACTTGTTGATCGAAATGCACAAACGAAACATGATCCTAACTTTTACAATTCAGACAGATACAACGCAGAACTTCGTACGTACGTACATCATTTCAGGTTGCCATACTACATCAGCACAGAGACGAAACTGTCAGTTCAAATCCAAGAGTGATAGCGATAGTAGAAGTATTAGCAGTAATGGAGAAGATTAGGGAGCGAAGATATGATTCGAGAAGTATAAAACTTTTTTAATTCAAAACCAGAAAAGTTCGACATTATAATTGTCAGCGGTCGCGGTAGATAAGAGGATAAAATAATTTCTATGAAATTATACTTTGAGTTGAGCAATTTCGTAAAACACTCAATTATGTTACTAAATAAGTTTTAACTGGTCTGAAAAAGTAGAATACTGTTTGGGCGAACAACAATCAAGATGCAGGTCGACCCCAGGAACTCACGCTATTAAAAACGAGAGGAGTGTTGGGGACATTAGGTCCTCAGAACTCACTTGATAAAGGTCTTAATTTTGGATTTTATTTTCTGGCGTGGTGCATGGGCTGATCGGTTGACCTTGAGATTACATTTCCCAGGCGGAAAATCCTTGACTGTTATTGGTTGATGTTTTATTTTAGTACGCTATTTTTATGGCTCTCCCAATGACGTTTCTATGATGTATAAATAAACTGGATTTGTGTGTTTGTGAACCTCATATTTTCTGGGTACTTGTAGAATACAATTTCTATGCCATATCAAGACTTCTTCCTCAATTGACGAGCATAACAAATACACTTCAGGCATCTGAATACTCATCGATTTCACTAATATATCAATAGATGCTTTGTAATTAATACACAACAGATATCGATTGTTTTAATAGTTAGAATATTGATCGATTTATCATGATCACCTGTGTAGAAAAAGACGTCTAAAAATCTATTGACTGTAAATTGTAGACTATAACCTTTACTAATAAACAAATGCACTCATATACTTTTTCACATTGTTCATCTAAACTATATGTATATATACAATTCAATCTTTTTTTGTTTTAGAACTTATAAGTTTATTGAAATGAATCTCATTAAGAGATGATATATTATAATCATAGACTAATGATTTGATTGAATTTTTAATATTAACAATAATATTGAATCGTAAATGTGTGTGAACTCGGATACAAATGCATCATCATCATGTATTTGTAAAAAACTTTAAAAAAATTCATTATACAGTTTACAAATTATTTTTGACATTTTTATTTATATAAATAAACATGGATGACAATGTAAATTATAAAATATTTCTGAATTTCATCATCCTACACAATCAATTACACATTGTTATTCCGTGTAAAATAAAACAATAATCATATGGAATACGGATGTGATGAGTCACAATAAAATTTCATGTTAAATTTTTATAGAGTACAATTATTACTAATCGAATTGTTAAAGATTCCCATTGTGAAAACTAGAACAAAACACATACAGGAGTGAACATTAGTATTGTTTTCGATTAGATCGTCATCTCAGGATTTACTCTCTAATATACGTGGATACTGATATGAAAATGTTAAATCAATCAAGGCAATTTATGAGTCAATAATCACAATGAAATGAAATATATATTACGTCACTACACACATAATAGGCAAAAGTACAAGTTGATAGTAAGAAGACAGGTGAGTACTGATCGTAGTAAGAAAAATAAAATAAGATAACAAAAGTTTTATCATTAGTAGGTCAAACGTGGATAAATAGACTAAAAGTAATCATTACTATTGATAAAACTTTAACACATTTGAAATAACCAATCAATCATTGTTAGACCACAATTAGAAACCTGGAAGCAGTGGACGGCCGTTTCGCACTGGTATGGAGCTCATCAGCAGTGCGCATCCACGACTCCTGCACCTCGCAGAATTCGAACCCGGGACCTTCGGTATTGTGCGTGAACGCCTAACCAACGGTGTTAATGTCTAACTCTGAATGATCTGCGGATTTTCGCGCGACCTCACCCATTTGTCTTTGGTAGTTACTGCCTACACCCGACAGGGTTGAACTCCATTAGTCACGTCTTCTCGGTGCGTCCAGGTTTCTAATTGTGGTCTAACAATGATTGATTGATGATTTCAAATGTGTAAAACCACAAAACTCTGCCCGAAGATAAAACTTTTGTCGTATTTTATCATTTTCTTACTACTATCAGTACTCACCTGTCTTCTTCTACTATCAACTTGTACTTTTGTCTGTTATGTGTAATGACATAATCTATATTTCATTTCATTGTGATTATTGACTCAAATTGCCTTGATTGGTTTAACATTTTCATATAAATATTCATGTATATTAGAAAGTAAAGCCTGAGATGACGATCTAATCGAAAACAACACTATTGTTCACTTATATATCTGCTGTTCTAATCGAATTGTGTTTTTGGTTTGTTTTTTTTGAATAAAGGCATGAGGTGCGTGGGAAGCTTTTCCGTTTGCAGTTAGTTTACTCCACGGTTTACTAGCAAAACTGATAAACTAATGGAAATCAAGAAGGAGTTGACAGCTGCAGCGTCTTACTTTGAAATTCTACAGAAATGTGCAAGTTTACATAGGAGACAGGTTATTATTAGACGGAGTTCCATGATGAGTACAGTGGATTTTCATGAGTTGTCCAATTGACGAAAAATAATTTCATACTTAACAATTTAAGTGGTCTCCCCTATTTCAAACAATAATCATTATTAATTCGCTTTGAGACAGACTCTGAAAGTTTTAAGGAAGTTTAACCTTGTTACACACATTGATATTAGTAAATCTTCAGAAATCTTCGTCATGCTATTCTCTTGAATGTTTGCAGCCTAACTGACACTAATTATGGTGTCTAGGTCTGTAATCAGATGAAACTAAATACGAAGACCATCTAATTATCATACTAAGAGAGTGGTAAAAATTTCAGAGAAAAACCAGGTATGAAGGAGGATGTTTGATCGGTGTAATAAAAACCGAAATCATTTGTTGATCTATCGATTCTTTTTTCCATCACAGTAATCAGTTAATAAAGAGGAGACAGATCATTTTGTTAACGAATGTCGATCGATAAACGGAAGTTACTTTGAATTTATTATGACGATCCTTGTAGTAGTGTCATTTTATACATCTTGGGTATTTCAAGTCAACTGTACAGCTGTTTTTGCATCATGGATTTACCGGGAATTTCCTACAAACTTCAAATTGTATACCTTACGTTCTCGTTTCGTATTTCGTCTACTTTTGTGATATTCTTGAAATATACTTATCTCAAAATACTTCATTTCTGATCTTCTAGCGTATCGCCGATTATACTAAATGGTGTAATAACTTAATTGGCCATAGAAAATAAATGAATTTCTTTGAGATTATGAATTATTGGGACCAGTTTGTTTGCGGAAAAATTCTCCACTAAGACTTTGAACATAAAATCGCTTCTAAGCTTTCTTTTTATCTCCGTGAATATTGTACTCCAATAAAATCCTATAGAAAAATAGAAGGCAGTTGACCATAAAAACACCTAAACATTTCTATGTGGAAACAAGATATCCTAAAGATGTAAATTTACCAACTTGTGTGGTTACCAAGAGCCTAATCAGATAATCTGTAAAAGTCGCCTGAAAGGTGAATAAGAATTGGCATCAGCGAAGCTTGGGTGTTACAAATGTGTCATGGCTCAGTAATAATTATAATTGGTTTTATTACTATAGGGTCTTCTGAAAATTATTATGGCTTAACATCCCGGATCGATATTTGTTAAATAACCACTGAGAACCAGGAGGCACTAGACAGTTATTTCGTTCTAGTGTGTAACTTTTCGGTATAGCACGTAGAAACCCAATCGTGGATTGAACCCAGAACTTTTGGTTACGAAATGAACATTTAACCTCTTGACCACTGAGCAGGTATTAGTATTAAATGTTTAGTACAGTAGGTGATCCTTATAGTTCAAGTGATATTAAGGGTAGTTAGGCAATGATTATTGAGAGATAGAATATAGCAACAATAGAATAAAATAAGTGAAGTTTCTATTGTTTTGGCACAGTTGCTTGATTGTTATTGTTGTTTAAATAGGCATTCGATAAAATAATAACCAATGTAGTAGACTTTTTTTAAAGAATTGATAGATTTAGCATAGATAAATCACAATACCTTATTCTTATATTTTAATAATAATAATAATGATTAGCAACACTTCTTTAACGTACACGAAGCCTAACTTCAAAGGTTAGACTTTGTCACTAGATTTCTTAAATATAGCTAACACTAGGATCCGAGATTCGCGTTTCTTCTTATCTGAAACTGGTTGTCAGGATTTATGTTCATCTCAGGATTAGTACCCATACTAGGGCTTAAATCGCGTTCCTATCATTTTCAATATCAACACACTCTCCATTAAGTTATTGAGTCTAGATTGTCATCAGTATAAGAACGACAGGTATTGGGCTTGAGACGCACCATCATTATGAACAATATACGTTGATAGTACAGCTACTTTGATGAAATAAGCTTCCTGAATCCCACTCTAGTCCATAATCTAAAAATCAATAATGAATTTGTAACATTAGGTAGTATCGAGATATCTCATTTAGGAGTTCATAAAGCAATAGAAACGGACTACATATTAAAAACAGGAAAACAACGACCCTGATTAATAATAAATTTTTTTATTCTTCAGGAAAAACGTATGAACTAATGTGTTGAAGACTATTCGATGATTTTTCCCCTTTGTAGTGTGTGTAATTTTATGTCGAGCACACAGGGGTTGCCTATTCCTTTGGAAAATTTGATCAGTCCATTCCTCTCGAGTTATTCACATGTCTTACGAGTTTGCCAACTATTCGCTCATTACATGTCTAGGCTATTCTGTTAACTACACATACTTAGTCATGCTTGATCGCATGGAGTTGGATCGCCAGCCTTCTTCCCTTCGCTTCGCTTTGCTTTAAAGCTTTGTATTCTTATGTTAGTCTGCAGGAAAGATTGCTTGAAACAAACTCATCCAACCGAATTCATATTTGGCTTCTTATTACAGCGGAAGTAGGATGTACGAAAACTAGAGGGGAGATTTATTTTACAACATATTCGACTGTTCATAAATACTGAACTCATATAGCAGGCCACTAAAATGGTGGGCCCTACTGTGGATTTAACACAGCCCTTGCACCTGTGTAGTTAAACAGTATCCATTACTTAACACCTAACTTATATAATTCCCAAAAGTTTATATTATCAATCGAAAAATATTTCTAAAGAATAAATATGTGCCTAATAATACTAATTTTTATTTATTGAGTAGGGATTATAAAACTAACGCATTTTGTTACACAGTTTCATATTTCTTGAACTGGTCTTAGATGATATCATGAATGCTAAAACTCAAATGTAGAAAAGTTCGAATATTTCACTTCTACCTAAAGTTTTTTTCTGATAATGTTGTTTAGGCGAATAACGAAAACTCCACAATCAAACCATCCAGCTTAGAGAATGAAACTCCACTTAACCTACGAATTTTCCTCACGATCTCGAAATCATATTGATTATCTATCCAAATATTTAATGATTAACAACTTATTCGTCAAACAGTAAAATAACTATTATACACTTAAAGGTTGTTCAACAAAAACTTATCAGTAGTAAGATAACTCAGTAGCATATGTATAACAGAATTATATTTGAACAACATAGAAGTAGCATATTGTTTTAAATAATGTCAATCAACTTCAATAGACGTTATTATCTTGCTTTCATGAATACTGATGATAAATTTTCTTAATATTTAGAGTCAAAGACATTCAGCACAAATATTGAATTCTCCCTAGCTATAGAGCATTTTGTTTTTATAAAAATAGCTGATTCTTAACAGTATACTGTTTGACACTTGAGATAAATTAGTTTAAGGTATTAAACTTGGGTTAGATTGTTTTTCAGTTTAGTTTTGAAACGGATAAACAATTAACTCTCGTTAAACCAATTATCATGAATATCGAAGTAGATATCTCTTATCAATGAATAGTAGATAGTGGTTAATACATATTTCTCTTGTTAAATTGTTGTTCAATATGAAAAAAAGATTAAATAGAAATCTAAGTGTCTTACTATGTTTTAGGTTTATTTTACAGTAACGAAATAGATGGCAAACGTTTGTACCGTGACGCAAATCAAAATATCCAATTACAATCCGAATAGGATCTAAGTACTAAATCAAATAACTTTTATTTCAATCATAGGCTAAGATAATCTGAACTGGACATCTGTCTCATTAAAAATGTGAATTTTCAACAGTAATTAATATCAAGCCCAACACGTTATGGCGTACACTAGACTCTTGATCAAGCCGGTAAGTATCCAATGGCTGGTATTTCTAGTTTTTGTCAGTTTGAAATATTGTGACAGTCATTTAATCTCATCTGTGAAAACTATTTCACTATCAATTATATCTGAACTTGACTGATAGTGACTTTATGAAGGAACTTTTAAAATACTAATATCACATGTTAGTTTTAATGATTACTACCTATAAATTTGTTATGAAAACAACGTTAAGATCAATGATAGAGCTTTTCCAAACATTTATTGATTGTTGATTAAGTTTCGTAACTTAACTGTAACAAGACAATGATTAATGGAAAACTAATAATGAATATACATATAAACATACTACTGTTGATCATAAATAGTAATTTATTGAATTTAAGAATGATCATTGTAAACGTTATGCTTAATTAATAATATTATCACTGATTAAAAATGTATATATATTTTTAAATATCATTACTTTGTGTATTCAGTATTGATGAGATAAAAAAAAAAACTTTTAGAAAGGGAAATGATCATATCTTGAATACCATGTATTACGTGTAGGTTTATGAAATGGTTTTCTTGGACGTTGATGATGAAACTGTTCTCTGCCAAACCAAGGATACATTGGGTAGAAATCATAATCATCACCAGACATATCATTATCTTCATCATGATTACTAAATTCCACTTGACCATCACCATCAATATCATCCCCGTGTATTGTATATGTGAATATTGTTCCTCCACCACTACAAGGTGATTGGTCATCAGAATCTTCTTCTGGCAATTCTTCAATTTCCTCTTTGTCTGATTCACCTGTAGGTTTTAATGTTGGTGTTGGTGTTGTTGTTGTTGTTGTTGACATTGCCGATGTTGTCTCAGTAGACTGTCTACCGTTAATTGAACCTTCTTGAAAAATTCGTCTTATTTCATCATAATCGGTAAAATGGTCATCATCATTATTACCAATGCTACTATCATCAACAGATTCCTCATCAGATGCATCACGTTTTAATTGATATGGTTTAGCATCTAGAATTGTCCAGTTTACATAAATTATAAAGATTAGGAATAATGTATAAGCAGATTTGTTCATTTCGATTATTTAATATATATCTATTGTGTTCTAAAATATAAAAATTTCAATAAATTTCCATATTACTGATTATGTTATGGTTATGCCTATATATAGTGGTTGAAAATTTTCAATAACACGAGATCAAAATGAATGTTTATTTCAACAAAAGTTCATGTGAACGCATAGACAAGTATATATACATATATACATATATAGATATATCTTCATCAGTTATTATATGTCACTCTAAATTTACATGGATTGACCAATGAATCAATAATCAAGTCCATCACTTGTCCGTTGACATTTTTTTTCATAGTAAAATTGAAAATTAAAACATGTAATACAAATAATAATTTGTTAGCTTAATAAATTATATCGAATTGATTGAATCATTGAAACACACACAAAGTTGAACTTGTCTAATTCTGTCAGCATGAGCAATGAGATATAAAGATGTGATAAAACAAATTGAATGGGTAATACACATGTAGCTTGAGTACTTTGAGTACTTGTCTCCACAATTTTGAGATTGACTATAAGATGGATACATCAGATAATACAGTTTCAAAATTAGAAATAATATTATAATAGATGACAGGAGACAATCGATAAGAATACTGGTTTGTTCAACTGGTCAATCTATCTCTCAGTCATACAATGGATCTATGGTAGTGCTTTGCCTCTGACACTCAATAACTTAGTTTAGAATATCACGGTGAACATTAGTTATCTTACTATTGTAGAAACATCTTGATGACAAATGCCAACTGATATGAAATCGTGATCTATGATTTCATTCGGATTATATCAATCAATCGACTGAATTACGATTCAGTAGTTTACAATTGATGAATCACTGAGTAACCATGGTCACTGTTGTGTTTGTGAAGTTATTTTGGGCTGATTGAATTCGATTGATCTATCAAGTTGCAATGGGATCATTAGTCTAAGTGGCTCGATTCGGTAGTTTTTAGACTGATGGATAAATGAATAAATAAATGAATTTAGTTAGGTGTAGATATTTAATTAAGTTGGGAGATGCCTTAGAGGACGTTAACACCTTTATATATCTGGGCAGCATCATTGATAATCAAGGTGGATCCGATGCAGATGTGAGGGCGCGTATCGGCAAAGCAAGAGCTGCATTTCTACAATTGAAAAATATCTGGAACTCCAAACAACTTTCAACCAAAACCAAAATCAAGATTTTCAATACAAATGTCAAGACAGTTCTACTGTATAGAGCGGAAATTTCGAGAACTACGAAAGCCATCATCCAGAAGATACAAGTATTCCTTACCAGTTGTTTACGAAAAATACTTCTGATTCGTTGGCCAGACACCATCAGCAACAACCTACTGTCAGAAAGAACAAACCAGATTCCAGCGGAAGAATAAATCAGGAATAAGTGGTGGAAGTGGATAGAACACACACTGAAGAAAGCACTCAACTGCATCACAAGGAAGGCCGGGAATCCTCAAACCCAAGGAACAAATTATGCTAAGAAATGGAGACAAACATGAGATGAATGAACAACCAATCGGATAGAAATAGGAAGGAAGTATGTGGAGAGAGTTGGTTGGAGAATGCTGGTCGGTGGAGAATAACACACCTAAGTAAGTAAGTGCATAAGTAAGTAAGTAAGTAAGTGCATAAGTAAGTAAGTAAGTAAGTAAGTAAGTAAGTAAGTATGTAAGTAAGTAAGTAAGTGCATAAGTAAGTAAGTAAGTAAGTAAGCAAGCAAGCAAGCAAGCAAGTAAGTAAGTAAGTAAGTAAGTGAGTGAGTGAGTAAGTAAGTAAGTAAGTAAGTAAGCAAGCAAGCAAGTAAGTAAGTAAGCAAGCAAGCAAGTAAGTAAGTAAGTAAGTGAGTGAGTAAGTAAGTAAGCAAGTTAATAAATATTTTGAATGGATTGTATTACCTCTGCATCATGAGCATAACATTGAACAAATCATTGAGTTGATCAACTTTCAGAAAATGAAATGATTTGATAGAAACATTTTTAGAAGTAGAAAACATCCTTTATACATATATATATATATATATATATATATATATATATATATATATATATATATATATATATATATTCTTTAATTCACAGTATATTTTATTCCAATTTTACATGATCTCTCTTTCTCCCTCTCTCTCTCTCTCTGGCGATGTTATTCACTCATCTATTTATTTTGTGAATTACATGACATTTTTATCGAAGTATGATCTAATCTCCTCAATATTAACAACATGAAAAAAACAGTGGAAGAAATCTCAAAAATTTGAGATTTCAAATTTTCTTTTCTTTTTTACCATTTATTCTTATTCTTATTTGTTTGTTATTTTTTCATTGTAACTTACTAGTGAAGAATGGATGAGGCAATCAAATGATGCCTTCCTCAATGACGACAGCAACAACAACAACAACAACAACAAGGGTGGGACAAGTGAATGAATTCAACAAGCAACAAAAAATGATGTTCAAAACAGGTCAGATAAATGACATCAAACGGAAGTTGATTGATAAAGTTTGAAAGAAAAGGTCATTATATATATATATAAATGCACATGGTATATAAAATGAAATTTACCCTTGTAAAATAAAATCTATTACTGTTTCGTTTTCTTCTTCTTCTTCTACTTCTACTTTTAGTGATAAGAGAGTGAATTAGGGAGGATAAAGATGAAACTTAAATTATTTCTATTATTATAAACTAGCTATATTATATTGTGATGGTAAGTAAAGAATACTTTGTTTTGTTATTGCTTATTACTTACTAACGCATGTAACCACCAAAGGAATTTAGGTCGCCGATCAGCGTTCTCCAACCAACTCTTCTCAGACTTCCTTGCTAGTTCTATCCAATTGCTATTCATTCTTCTCATGTCCGTCTCCGTTTCTCGGCGTAATGGCTTTCTTCTTTTCCGTTGTCCCTGAGATTCTCCATATGAGGGCTTGCCTCATGATACAGTTGAGTGCTTTCCTTAATGTGTATCCTATCCAACAGCTTCAGCACTTCTTCCTCATTAATTCCTCCACTGGAATCTGGTTTGTTCTGTCCCACAGTTGGTTGTTGCTGCTGATGTCTGACCAATGGTTCCGAAGTATTTTGCATAGATAACCATCAACAAACACTTGCCTCTTTTGGATGATGACTTTCTTAGTCCTCCAAGTTTTCGACCCATAAAGTAGAACTGTCTTGATATTTTGTATTGATAATTCTGACTTTGGTGCTGGTTGATGGTCGTTTGGAGTTCTAGATCCTTTTCAACTGTAGAAATACAGCCCTTGCTTTGTCGATCCGCACCTTCACATCTGGATCAGATCCACCATGCTTATCAATGCTGCTGCCCAAATATGTAAAGGTTTTTATATCTTCCAAAGCTTCTCCTTCAAGTATGAATCGGTTGGTGCATGTTTTACTGCGTCGAAGGATCTTGTGTTGTAAAATTCTGAATATATTATATAAGGAAGCATAAAGGAAGCGCCTGCGTTCTGAATCGTTAATTGTATGGGAAATGTCTGCTCTGTAAGTTCTATTTAAAGAGATGTTGAACGAATATTGAATAAGAAAGAAATATTTTATGTGAAATCTTCGTAATTACGAATATCCCTCGAAATCTAAGTGATTTGTACATGTAAAGCTGATATAGATATACTGAGTTTCACAGCTCTGGTATCTCGAAAGCCTGTTTAATGGAGAATCTGAAATGCATTCAAACCAGAATTTAGTAATAAATAGATTCGGAGTTATATTTGTAAAATAGTCAATGTGTTAAGAAGTATATAAACTATTCGTTGTAAGAGAAGTGCAGTACTGTGTACCCAAAAGTGAAGTAGTGAGGGTGCTTGATTGAGTGCTTTCATCTAGGGGTGTGTCTAGTAAAACTAATGAGGTCATAATCAATGCCGAAGGCGTGCGAAAAAAAACTAATTTTGGAGATTTATTTACCACTACAGATAGAATGTGGTTAGCATTGGAATTCAGGATGCACATTTCGTTCTACTTGGAACCCACTACCTGGACGAATAGAATTTTAATCAGTATATTACAAACTTTATAATTTGAAATCATGAATCAATGAATGTTAGACCACCATTAAAAACCTGGAAGCACTGAAAGATGGCCGTTTCGTCCTGATATGGGACTCATCAGTAGTGCGCATCCACGACTTCTGTACGTCGTGGGCAAGACCAAAGGTCCTGGGTTCCAATCCTGCGAGAACTTCCGATATTGAATTTTTCAATTTTTTCCTAAATAAACTGCCAGATGAAATACACTGAACTTATTTACACAGTATCAGATGCGAATAATAAGTATTTCAACACATAGCATCGTTTGATTTTTTTCGGGCTGTCAAAATGCAATCTAAATTGCAAAACTTGCTGGTGAAGCTATTTGAAAAAACTATTCGCTTAAGTATTCCTTATTTTTGAATGATGTATGCAGATCTTTAAACGTTAAAAATTGTGAGTTCTCCATGCCTCCGTCCACCTAAAAAGAAACTTTATATATCTTTCTGAAAATCGAAGATAATATTAGAGATGTAGTTCATATAGATTAGTTTTCTAGGGTACTATTTGTCACAGCTTTGCTGTCATTATCCAGCTTTAGAAGTTCACCAGGACACCTCTGTTCCAGAGCAAGACCACATTGATTGGCTAATTCAACATGAACCTACTTGTTCACTTGCTAGTTTGGATCTACGAACATTAGTCATTTTTATTGACAATTATTTTCTAATGAGTTAAAAAAATCCCTTACTCTTATGAGTCACTAAAGAGTAGTTCTGAGCTTAAAATGGGTATTATCATGTTTTTTAACAAACTTTAAGTATCGTAAAAAAAATATGACCATCCATAATGTTTATCTACAAACTGGAAAATCATTAAGAAGGATTCTTCGATTTGTGAAATGTTTAGAATATTTAATGACGGCAGAAACCATAAAAACTAATATTGCGCTACACTACATGAAATAATCTTAATATCTCTAGAAAATTACACATTCTGTTGATCATATATACTTCCAATAATCTAAATTTATAAAGTATATTTATAGGTAAGTTATGCTTTTTTTTTATTTTCCGCTGGAAATTTTCTATTGTTATTAAAAATGCCAAAGAAAAAAAGAACATGAAATTGAAATTTGAATGTCAAAGGAAAGAGTTTTTTTCTTCAATAGAAACGATCATTAAAAACATTTCAAAAACAAAAGATATAATCCCTAGCTTCTTACTGCTACTACTTCTACTTCCACTACTACTACTGCTACTCTTGAAAAGGATCAAGGTTTCAATAACTAGTTTTGTTTAACTTCTTATAATGATGTAAATGTGACTTCATGTTGTATACGTATTACCGGAAATCCAACATAAAAACAAAACAAATACATGTCATTTGAGAGGAAAAAAAACATGCATAGAAATGTATTCAAGGAAAAAAAAACGATGTTTTGTCATAGTTTGGACGAATCAAATTTCAAGTGATGCAAAGTTTCTACAACTTATTATATATAAACTAAGAAAAGAGATACTTATTTAAATGAGAAGGTGCTTTGTGTTCTTGATCACCACAAGAAAAACATATCGACAAGTAGTATTGAAAAGGTATCTTGGTTAATAATTATTTGGTCAACTATATATATGTATAATGCGGTGTTGATTGCCTTGAACTCTTTAAATTATTTATTGTACTCATCTATTCATCGCATTTAAAGTTTATGAATGTTGAATAGTATAAATGAAAACATTTCTACACTGAAATCTATATACTGAAAATGACAGACTCAGCTTACACGACTGTTCAAATGACACCGGATAAAATAGTCCTATCACAAGAATCAAATGATAACAATGTGAATTCTCATTTAACTAAAACTAATTCAAACAATAATAGTAATCTTATTATCAGTAACAGTAACAGTAATATTGATAATCATGACATTATCAATAATGATCATATTACTCATGATAAAATTAGTAGTAGTACTATTTCTTTGAATAATAAAGAACAATGGATTGAAGAAACATTATCAATTAGTAAAAATACACAACAGTTTAAATTAACCAAATTTAAACAAAACAAAAATGAAGAAAGTGGTAATCAATGCGATCAACAGCATACATGTAATGAAAATCTTGAAATTATTGCAGAACGAATACGTGATAAATGGAATAAGAAAATGGATTTTCTATTATCTGTTATTGGATTTGCTGTGGATTTGGCTAATGTATGGCGATTTCCTTATTTATGCTATAAAAATGGTGGTGGTAAGTAGTATGTTATGATATTTATATTTGTTTTATGAGACTCTATCAATATGATAATGTGTATCATTATTAACATTATGGTCATTATATATTAAAGATAATTAATAACGAAGGTCCCGAGTTCGAATTCTGCGAGCCGTGGATGCGCACTGCCACTGATGAGTCCCGTACCAGGACGAAACATCCGTCTTTCAGTGCTTCCGGGTTTCTAATGATGGTCTATCAATGATTGATTGATGATTTCAAATGTGTAAAAACACTAATCTCCATAACTCTAATTAAAAATTGTCAACTTAGTTCCCTATATACGCATGTAACTGGCATGGTGTAGAAAATGTTATTGACTTTGTTCAAGGCTGTATTATATTTTAGGCAAGATTTTTGTCAGATGAACTATAGTCATTGGTTAAAGTAGAAAAATTTCAACTGAAGTGATCGTTTAATCGTTTCACTGACTACTAAGACCGTACAATATGTGAAAAAGTGCTAAAGAGATACTATATTTCCAATCTGAGTATTTTAATCATAAGTTATAGGATTCCTATGATTTAAATTGCAGTATATCAGTCTATCAAACGAAATTTTGTTGATTGACCTGTAGTGAAGGAGAACACAGGTGACGACAACCGAATTTTATTTATCTCGAATTACAGAGTTAATTGGTAAAATAGAAAAACCATATCGCAAATCGTTAATTTGCAAAATATCAGTCCATCATATCGAACTGGACTGTTCCTGTTGCAAACATCAATCCATTGTCTGACATTTTACTTTTCATACAAATCCCATTGTGTTCCCGCTCTTCCTTTCTTGATCTTCCCCTATCTTCTGCTGCCAGACATTACGTTTTCACTCGCGTTATATACTACTTATGAGTAGCGCGCACCACAGACCTACCCACTACTAACTTGTACAGTTATACGCATTATATTTTAGTCAAATTCATTTACTATGTCTGATTAATTCTTAAAAGTGTAACATATTACCATAATAGTTTTCATTTTTTTCAAAAAACAGTATGAAAGTGAACTACTATATCCCGAAATCCTTAATTATTCAGTAATGAAGCACAACAGACACCAGTTTTTAGAATTCTAGTTACTTGAATGCAATACTAAAGGTTTTCAGTAGTTTGTATGCAGGATAATTCATCCAGCACTCAATAAATATTCTTTTGAATAAACTAATCAAAATTGGGAAATTCGGTTTTCTGACAGGTTAGGCCATCAGTTTATTATTTAGCTATAAAAAAAATATTTATATATCTTGCTATAGAAACTAATGAATCCTCTACATTGTACGACCAAATCTGTTTCCATTGTCTACAAGTGAGAACCAGACCCAGTTACACAGTTCAAACAAATTACGCTATGTAAAAAAGATTTTTAATGTATCCCTTTTAAAGTATGAAATATATTGTGTTATTCTAATTTTCATAACAGGCACATCATGATGAATAAGGTTTGTTAAATGATCAATCTAATGTTGTACATTGAAATTAAAAAGAAGTTTCGTTTTTGTTTAACGATTTATATACAAATAATCATAGATATAAAATCATAATAAAATTGATGTAGGCTTTGATTTTTAAGTTCAACTACAATACATAACCAAAATGACATAATATATACTTACAGATTTACTATACTAAAGAATACACACATTTTAAAATGATCAGTCACAATGGTAGTAGACAAAAATAGTGAAAACTTGTTCATAATTGTTTTTCATTGTTGATTAGCGTTATTATATAAAATGAAACATGACTAAATATATTTGCGTAATAATTTGTGCGATTCGTGATAACAGTTACAACAACAAAATAAATCTATTTATTTTTGACGTAAAAATGAGTCAGTAAAAAAATTACCGACAATTCGGAAATCGTTAAGTTGGATTTCGTAATAAGCAATAGAATATTTGAAGAGTGTACATTAATTCATGAATTGGGTGAGTGAAAATCACAGAGGATTAAAAATATTACTCTTTAGTAGATGGTATAGAAAGCTAACGAAGTTTGCATAAAAAGCACAAAATAATAATAACAGTAGTAGTAGTAAGAGTAGTAGAAGTAGCAGTAGTAGTAGTAGTAGTAGTAGTAGTAGCAGTAGCAGTAGTAGTAGTAGTAGTGGTGTGGTGCGCGCTACTTATAAGTAGTATATGACGTGAGCGTCAACGTAATGTCTGGCAGCAGAAGATGGGGGAAGATCAAGAAAGGAAGAGTTAGAACACAATGGAATTGGTATGAAACGCATGAATAGTGACAATGGATTGATGTTTTGCAACAGGAACAGTCCAGTTCGAGATGATGAACTGATATTTTGCAAATTAACGATTTACGATATGGTTTTCCGATTTTACTGAGTAACTCTGTAATTTTCGTTAAATACAATCCGGTTGCCCCACCTGCGTTCTCGTTCACTACAGTAGTAGTAGTAGTGGTAATAGTAGTATTAAAGATAGTAAGAATAATTGGAAATAGTTTACTGTAAAATTAGATGTTACTTATTTCCAGTAAAAAATAAAACGATCTAAACCGGGTCAAAAATTAAAACTGAGACTAAATAGAAATGCAGACAAATGCTATATTGACTTTTATTACCTAAAGAATATATGGGAATTTATGGAGATTGTTTGATGTCCATAGTTTTGCATAATGGAATTATTTTGCCAAAATATCCATTGAACATGTGGAAGTACTGGACATCTGTTTTGTTTATGTATGAGACTCATCAAAACTGCGCAATGACAACTCTATTAAAGGTATTCGGTTGTAGCACTTTCAGTCTGGAGCTGACATTGAAAATGTTGACGACTGAGCCAAAACTCAATGGTCTGCACATCAAACTTAAATCAGTTCCAGATATTACCTAACAGTCTTCTATTCTCTAAGACAAATCATCGTTTCATAGTTGATACGATTGAACTGTCTTAGTCATGGCAACTCCTGAAATCCTACCTCGCTGATGTCGTGGATTTTGATTACTGAAAATTTACTTGATAAGACTAAAAACTGTTTAGTGCTTTCTGATTTTCAATAGCTCTCAAATGAAGATACGAATAAAACTTGTCTACTAACATTCCCACGATTCACGTTAGTATAAAAACACCAATAGCATGATCTTATTTTCTCACTGAAACACTATGATATCATTATGATAGTGTACAGAATAATTATAAACATAGCTTCAAAACTTTGATATGTAAGATAGTGTCATCATCATTCATTTGTAGCATCCTAACAAATTTTTCATTAACGTACATTCATACTGTAACTACTTAATAAATGTATGTATAATAGATATTTTTCACCAAACTCGCTGTGTTAAAATGAATTTTTTTTTCTTACTTCAAAAAACCAATTCAGAATTACAAGAAATTGTATATTTCTGTTGTTATTTTAATCCCCCTTGTTTGTAAAACTTCAATGATCAAGTAAATAAGGTCATAAATAAATGATAATTTCATTTGTAAATTATGCATGTAATAATGTTGGAAGTTTTTTTCAAAATCTGATCCTCGTTACTTTGTTTAAATGAACAACAAGAATATTATGATAATTTAGCTATACTACTTAATTACTATATTATACTATATTATTGAGAACAAGCATATATACTAACATTAATTCAAATTTTAAATTCGATCATATTCTGTAGTGAAGAATTTTGAAAGATTTAAAACGAGATGTAATGCATTTGTGACATAGTAAGATGACTGTTAAATGACATCAACAGCGAATGTTTCATTTCCCGGACGTCGGAACTGTAAATTCAAACTTGTACCTCTGGGTGTTAATCCATGGTTTTAGCGATTAGATGTTCGCCAGACCTGAAGGTTTTCAGTTTGATTCTTTGTTAGTAAGTGAATGAACACTGTTAAGAAGTTTCATACGAGAGCAAAACGACTTTTCAACGTTTCCTGGTTTTCATTTGTATCTCCAATAAAATCAAACTTTGCTGGATCAAACATAGAAATTAAACCAATTTCCACAAAATCATTTCAATAAAATCGTTTTTTGTTGAAAAAAAAATAGGTACTTAGTTAGTTGTTATGATAGACAAGCAGGAGTATTGAAAAGTGAAAATCGTAGTTACCTCAATTAATCCAGATTGGTCTTATAGAAATTGTATTTATAAATAAAACTTCCAATTTCTATTTCTTATACTCCCTGATAATATTATGTAACTTAAAATAGTTATTATTGAAGTTGATATTGATTCATTTATTGGGAAAATTAGTTTTTTCGTGATTGAATT